ATGGGAGTTGGAGGTCATGTGATTACAGCAGGCAGAATCAAAGAACCACGAATCAGAAGTACCTGGATTAATCAACAGAGCAGAGGAATTAGGTACAGAGGAGCTAGAAGTACCAGATTCTTGAATAATGGAATGGATTGTGGATCGAAGATCATCTAAAGATAGAGTAATTGATGAACGGTTGGAAGAATCCCCAATGGTAGCAGCAGTAGTGGATGAGCGCACATGCGGACCTCTGAACCGAGATCGGTTGTTTGTTCCCATAGGCTGCTTAGGTTGCAGCTGATAACAATTGGATGCACGATGACCAGATCGACGGCAGTGCGTACAGTAAGGCTTTCGCCATGAGGAAGAACCAAAAGTGGCAAATACTGCATTTGTAGGAGTGGAGACTGATAGAGTAGCACGTTGTGCTTTTAAAGTAGCTAGTCGAGTTTCTTCGGTCAACAGTTCTGAGACAACTGCCTCAAGACGAGGTAAAGGATCTCGATGCAAAAGTGAAGCTCGCACAGGTTCAAACTCATCATTAAGTGCCATCAGAAATTGCATTACACGCATTCGATCGCGATATTCAACAAACATGCGGGCATCAGTAGTTGACTCCCATTTAGGCTCAGATAAGGCTAGCTGATCCCATATAGCATGCATCGAAGATAAAAATTCATTAATAGACTGACCTGTCTCCTGATGCATGCGATGTAAATTCCCTAATAGTTGATATTGATGAGCAATGTCTGACGTGGAATAACGACCGACAAGAAGATCCCAAGCTTCCTTTGCTGTATTTAGTCAACCAAACTAAAGTTTGATAGATGGAATTGAAATGTTTCGAATCCACGTGAGTATATGATGATTCCTGCTATCCCACTCCTCTAATCATTCAGCAAATTTATCATCAGCCTCACTAATAGCCTGAATAGGCTCGCGAATACCTCCAGTGACGTAACGTCAAAGTTTACGTCCTTTTAAAAAACTTGACATTTCTTGAGCCCATAAGATATAGTTTGATCCATTCAAGATGGTTTGAATGGGTACTGAGACTTCTAACTTTTCCATGATATTAAAATGTACCCAATATAATGAATTCTGAGAAAACCGATATTTCCAAGGTTGATATTGACAAAATAAGGCCAAAAATGGATTTAGGACGTCGAAATACCTTAGGAACCGGTCTGAAAATGCCAAGAATCGGTCCAAAAGAGATCGAACCGGTCAGAAAATAGATAAACCGTTCTGGTCAACGCCAGTCAATGCCGGTCAACGCCGGTCAACGGTCGGTCAATGCGGTCAACTGTCACAATGCTATGATGACGTGGCAGATGACTCAGCGTGGATATCACACGTGGCAGATGACTTGGCGGTGACGTGTCACTGACGTCACAGGATGACGTCACTGGTTCGAACCAGCGGATCGCGTGAGTCTCACACGGCATGTGGATCTCATGCGCAGAGGACCTCAGAGGCGCGTGAGGGTGCGTGGAGATCTTTCCGGCGACGTGCATTGCTGTTCTGGACTTGTCGGAGGATGGAGAACCTGTCTGTGGTATTTGTTTTGGATTATATCCAACTATTGACGTCGGAAAAGAGACTTACAGTCGATGGCGTCGGAGGGCCCGTGACGTGGTGGCGCGTGGTGGCTCGTGCGGAGGTTTCCCGAGTCTGTTTGTAACGAAAATTGAAGGGTCTGACTCGTTTTGTGGCAGCGATCAAGACGACAGTTCGGCGTCCGTCCGGCGGAGAATGGATATCTCGCGCGGCTATGGCCACTAGCTTAAAAACACCGTGGCCCCTTCCTTAAAAAAAATATTGGCTCTTATACCATGAAAAGAATAAAGTAGAAAAGAGAATTTCTGTATATTTCTGTGTGTCTAATACTGATGATACATGAGCCTATTTATAGGCTATTCAAGATAACTATCTAAAGCAACAAAATATTACAATATCAGAATAACATCAAATAGAATCAATCAAGGAGGATTGATATCTCTAATATTATCAATCAGGGAAGATCGATATCTCTAATATATATATCTCTCAGTCAGGGAGGATTGATATCTCTAACAAAAGGAATGATTATTGAATTCAATTCTAATAAAAAACATGTGTTTAAATGTCATTCAAGAATATCATCGAATGTGTAATGGTAGACTCGGCCATAGATCTTAAATGTAAATGTACAACAACTAAACATTTCAGATCATAACAACCAACAGCAATACAATCTCAAAGTAGAGACAAAAGCACTAATGCTTACCTGGAAATGCAATTGAAGGCCACGAACAGCGACTTAATCGGTGATAGGAACTTCAAAAAGTGTCAATCGGTTGGAATCGGAGCCGGCGAAAAGGAATCGAGCCAAAGCAGAACTCTTCACACAGTTCGAGCAAAAAATAGAGCAGGACAAAGTAGTTTCTGCGCGACTCCAGATCGGGGAATGATAGCGTCCGGAGGTGGTTACGACGGCTTGAAATCGATCAAAAGTGTTAAAACCATCGTCCTTAATTGGCAGATAGAAAACGCACTTGCTCGAAATGAAGCCATCAAGATGTTGATCACTGAAGTTGCCGAAGTAAAGACTGAAGTAGGGGAAGTCAAGATTCAACTGGATCATTTCCACCGGTGAATAAATCAGACGGCAGTAGCACAAAACAAGCTATTACAACTCTATCGAGATAGACTCCAAAAAATTGAATCGGGAGCCTTACCTCTAAAGCAATGATCACACAACTGAAATTGAGAGGCTGGGGAAACAGATAAAGATCTCCAGTAGAGACAGTAGCCTCAAAACCCTTCCTCTTTTGATCCATTGTTTTTTCCCTCCTGGGACATATCGAAGACATCTTGGCCTTCAGCCTCCTCCATTTGCAAATGTGTTTTGAAACCTCGGTCCAAAGTCTAGGAGCTGGGAAATATGGCATTTTAGCCATTTGTGACAGAATCCTTACTGAAAAGAAAAAGGGGAAGGCTAAGAAACAGGCTAAGCTTCGGCCTGCTTCTCCTCCTCCTCCTCCACCATCTGTCAATGTGATTGCGAATCATATTGAGTGTTTCTTGAGAGACCATCACCAGCAACTCAAGCCATTCGAACTGCCATCTCAAAGAATCTCTCCGTCAAGCCATACATCCCCATAAACCTTTTCCCCTCTTAAGTACGACAAATCCATAAGCTTCCCGAACTCCGAATTTTATCTAATGGACTTCGGTTCAAAGGACAATTTAAAGAATTCGTGGTACTAAGAGAAGTGTGTGTATATTTATATTCAAAATTACTTTATTTTATTTAATAATTGCATTAATCCTCAAAAAACTTGAAGTTCTCATAAATTCTTTTTTTTTCCTGTAAAAATTCAAAATTGAAATGCAACGCAAAAAGGAATATCAAATGTGTGTACAAAAAAGAGAAAAAGTATGTGGTCCATCAGATCTGTTTGGCAAGATTGGTTTTTTATTCATAACATACTCCGATTGAAAGGAAGATTAGAGACGCAAAGGTGATCAAACTTACATTTGATTAAGAAAAATTACAATAAGTAAGGAGATTATGAACACATAAGGCGCAAAACTTTTAGCATTTGATATGGAAGAATTTTATTGCTAACCTAGCATGATCATAATTTCGGTCAAACATTACAAATCACAGGATCCAGAGAACTTACAACCACCGAAGAGAAATGACACCGTATGATAAAAGTTACAAAAGGATTTTCTAGGGGTGAGCATGGTTCCACGTTCTACCCTGGAATCTAAAAACCTGACCGTTGAGAACCCGTAGGTTCCAGGTTCCAAGGTATGCAACGTAGATTCCAGGTTCCAAAAATTAGGGAACCTGTTTCGACGAGTAGGTTTCAGGTTCTAGGTAGGTGGAACCTAGAACCTGGAACCTGAAACCTAAACATGTTTGTTGTGTTTTTTATTGTCTATGTCTTCGCGTGATTCTGTGGTGTTTCATAGCGTTAGATAGTGAGTATATAATCTAGAACTACTAGTCTGAACTTTCATTTCATGACTTGTTAATGTTTCATATTTTTCGTGTGTTTAAATATAAGTTGTGGTCAGTGGATCATAGCAGCAAATGGTAGTCATTAAAGGTGATAATTCATTGCAATTGTTCAATTAATAATACATGTAGAACCTGGGTAGACCTTGAAACCGACCTGGAACCTGTGAAAGGGTAAGTTTCAGATTCCAAAAAATGAGTAACCTATTATCATGGGTAGGTTTCACATGAAACCTGTATAGAACATGGAACCACTCACCTCTAATATCGATTCACGCAATGATTTCTCATTTTAATTGTATTTATTTGAATAATAATGTAGAAAAACTAGTCTTTTTGTATTCTCTTTGATGAATGATAAGCTTGTTCAGTGTTGTTGCGTTCATTGTCGTTTTGTTTAACTAAAAATGAACTAAAAAAAAAAGAACCTGTTAGATCCTAAAACCTATCATGAAACCTGTGACAGGGTATGTTCCAGGTTCCAATGGGTAGGTTTCAAGTTCCAAAAGATGAGGAACCTGTACCCGAGGGCAGGTTTCAGGTTCCATCTTGAACTTGTAAGGAACCTGAAATCGCTCACCCTTAATATTTTCTACCATAAAATTACATTACTATATCGAGGTAAGTTTACATACCCAGGCGAAAAGTTACGATCCATTAGGTGATTCACCGAAAATAAGGAAAAAGAAATATGTCATCAACTTAAACACCACGAAACTCTTGACGGAAGACAAATTACGTCACGTGAAGAGGAATTACGGCATGAAACTGACGCCCGTTACTGACATTAAAAGGGAAAGTTACAATCAATCAGGCCGGGATCGAGATCGGGATCGGGTTCCGGTTTTTCCATAGGAGGACCCCGAAAAAAAGAAAACACACACACACACATGTGCAAGTCGGGTCGCATAACAATGAAATTCACATTTATATACTTTTGAGGGCGTACCACCATTTCATTATCCTAAGAGAAAATATTGAAATAAAGTTTCATTACCCTCTTCCCTGTTCCCGCACTACCTAACATTCGAGTCGGCGGTAAATTTCTCTTTTTTTTCCGACCTCAATCTCTCTCTCTCTCTCTTCTTTCTCTCTCTACACCAAACCCTAGCCCCCCTATATCTTCGAATTCGAGCTCGGGAGGTCGAAATCGCCATCGATCCACAGAGCGCAGCGCTACACGCGATCGGCGACCCCATTTCCGGCGGATCTCCGAGCTCACCGCCGGACCCCGCCCCCGCGCCTCCCGATCGCCTGCTGTTGACCATGATCAGTGCGGAGCGCTCCGGAGCTTAGCTGAGGTTATATGATGAGACAAGAGCTGGTCCTCTGCTCCAGGTGCATGGGTTGCAAGGCCGTACGATGCCCGAGCTTCGCAGAGGTGTACGCCGAGGCCGCGCTCCGCTAGCGAGGAAGCGATCGGAGCCGCCGCGGGGGCGACCGGAGCCGCAGCAGCAGCCAACCGCCGCCGCCGCCGCCGCCGCCGGGAACTACGTGAAGACGCGCGCCGCCGTCGCCAGGGAGAGGGCGAGGGGAGGGAGGGAGTTGGGGACCGAGGAGCCGGCGGCGAGGAAGAAGGGGAGGAGAGGCCGGGCCGGTGTCGCGCCGGAGAGGGAGGTCGAGGCGGAGGGCGGAGAAGGCGACAAGGAGGAGGTCGAGGTAGAAGCGATGGGCGACGAAAGCGGCGGGCTGAGTGCTAACAAGGCTGGAGGACAGGAAGAAGAAGGCAGCACGGCACCTTTCCCCGAACGTGTATGTGTTTCTCTTTTGGCATTCTTTGTTTTCCAGTTTTTTTGGTACGGTTGGATGGTGCTAGATATGGATAATGAGAAGGTCGTTTTTTTGTGGTAGTCTGGTGTTATGATATCTTTGATTGTTTAATTGCATTGTGGTTTAAATATAATTAAAGTAAAAATTTGGTATAATATCGACCTTATGGTCAGAATCTTCAATCTGGAAGCTCGGTGATTAGATTGAGCTGAAAATTTGTCAATCCACTTATTGATTGTTTGATGTGTTGAGCATTTCAGGTGGAATAAGATCCGCTACCTAATCAAAAGGAAAGCAATTGGATTGTTCTTGCAGTCTATAGGCTGCAGGTTTTTAGGATTTTGGTGGCATATTTTTGGATTGTCAACCATAGATTTTGGTGAATATCTTATGTCATGGCATGAAGAACTGCAAGAGTATATCATGTTAATTTTTTGATAATGACTTGCTTCAAAAGATGTTCGACGTAACTTATGTTGAGTGATTGTGAAATATCTGATTGTTCTGTAGCCGTGGATCAAGATTGAGGAAAAAGATAATTGCTGTGCTATTTAGGGATTTATCTTAACTTCTTTGTTTCTTCCATATACATGAAGGTACAAGTGGGAGGATCACCATCTTACAAGATAGAAAAGAAGTTGGGCAAAGGTGGATTTGGTCAAGTGTTTCTTGGTCGACGTGTTACAGGGGGAAGTGATCGATCAACAGGTCCAGGAGCTATCGAGGTGAGAGCATAAGGCATCATATGCGCTGTGAATATCTTGTCCTTGGTTTTTAATTTGTTTTATTTTACTAACAATTTGTTCGGGTGTTTTCTTACGTATCATTGCTGACATCTGTATCAGGTTGCCCTGAAATTTGAGCATAGAAATAGCAAGGGCTGTAATTACGGTCCCCCATATGAATGGCAAGTTTACAAGTGAGTATTAATCTTTTCCCATAGTTAGAATATTTAATTTGTCCAGGTGCGAGGGCTGCAACACCCTCGCTGTGGCCCGCGCCATGTACCTAACTGTTTTTCTGTTGTTGACAGTGCCCTTGGTGGTAGTTATGGAGTGCCTAGGGTGCACTATAAAGGAAGACAGGGAGAGTATTATGTGATGGTACGAGTCACCTTGTCTCTCGTGCTGTTATGTATACTCACGTCTAGTTCTTGCTTCTAACTTGTTTACTCACAGGTGATGGACATGCTTGGACCAAGCTTGTGGGATGTGTGGAATACCTCTGGACAGGCGTAAGTAATTTTATCTTTATTTTTGCTGTTATATGTTCTTACTCGTACTGAATAATGACCATCTAATCAGAGGAAGTTCTGATTCTGAATATTCTGTGAGTATGCCATTTAATAGTTGTAGCTTTTAACAATAAATTCAGCAACATGAGTGCTTAATGTCTACAGGATCAAGAGAAATCTTCTAGTCACTTTGCACCATGTAATACAAACTTCTCATGGTCTTTTGGGGAGCATGATTTGTTCTTTACTTTTACTTTTGACTTGGCTTGTCTTTGAGGGGCAGTTCAGAGAAACAAGCATGGTACTGACAGTCTGTATCTTGTGTTTATTCATGTTTCTGAGCATTAGTTTGTTCAGATCATTGCTGGTATGATCTGTAGCATATTTGTTCTTGCTTGCTCGTATTGATTTAGACAAAGTCTTTGCTCTCCAGCTGGACAGAGGCTCTGCGAATGAGAAGTTAAAGTAGTAGCTTATGTCTTGTTGAGTTGAGGCTGGATGCTCTCTGCCCTATGGAGACATAAGGCATAGAATAGCACATGGAGATAGCTATTAGAAACTCAGGAGTGGAATTTTTTATTCTCAACATTCAAAATGACTATAATTTTCTCATTGTCAATCATTGCTTAATAATGATGGTATCATGCAGGATGTCTTCCGAAATGGTAGCTTGTATTGCAGTTGAGTCGTTGTCAATCCTTGAGAAGATGCACGCAAAGGGGTATGATGTTTTACTTCATTGGATTTTCCCCCTTTGAAAATTGGATTGGTTTAAAAGAGGAGTGATTGGTTGTTGGTTTTCTTTTTTCCATTCTCTGACATTGTGGTACTAGTTATGTGCATGGAGACGTGAAGCCAGAGAACTTTTTGCTTGGTCAGCCATCCACACAACAGGAGAAAAAGTTGTTTCTTGTTGACCTGGGATTGGGTGAGCATGATTGACAACAATATCGTTGAATGCTATGTGTTTCATTTTTTTAACTAGTTTTCTGACATTTAATTTTACAGCAACAAAGTGGAGGGATGGTTCCAGCGGGCGTCATGTTGAGTATGATCAACGGCCTGACATGTTTAGGTAAATTAGTCTTCGTTTTGTTCCCTTGGATGGTGCTTTAGTTAAGTACATGCAATGTGATATATCTTTTCCCATGTTCTTTTGTTGCAATTTTCCAGGGGGACGGTACGGTATGCTAGTGTTCATGCTCACTTAGGGAGAACTGCTAGCAGAAGAGATGATCTGGAATCTCTTGCTTACACATTAATATTTCTACATCGAGGCAGGTTACCCTGGCAAGGCTATCAGGTGCAGCCACTGAACACAGACTTTATTATGGTCCTTTAAACTTATTTTAAGAATATACAATTGCTATTTCTCTTAGGGGGACAACAAATCTTTCCTAGTTTGCAAAAAGAAGATGGCGACTTCGCCCGAAATGTTATGCTGCTTCTGCCCTCCACCTTTGAAACAGTTTCTGGAGTTTGTAGTGAATATGAAATTCGATGAAGAGCCCAACTACTCGAAGTTGATATCTCTGTTTGATGGTTTAATTGGTCCAAATCCTTCTGTGAGGCCAATAAACACCGATGGTGCTCAAAAGGTAAATCCTTTGTGTTTACTACATATTAAATTAATTGTGAGTGGTGTTTGCAGCTATAACATCGATTTTAGCGTCACAATTTCTAGGCTGTCCAAGTTGGCCAAAAGCGAGGAAGGTTGAATGTTGAGGAAGAAGATGATGGGCAACCAAAGAAGAAGGTTCGCCTGGGAGTTCCAGCTACCCAATGGATTTCAATATACAATGCTAGATTACCCATGAAGCAGAGGTAGGTCATGGTTGTATCTTGAAGAATTGCGATTAGAAAGAACATTACTTAGGGAGAGAATTTCTACACAATGAAATGAATGGACATGTCAATTTGTGGATACTCCTTTCTGAAAAAAACATCCTTGTCCTTGGGACATGGCTGATCAGTGTGTATTAGGCAGTCATGACCTCATTTTATGTGCAGGTATCATTACAATGTAGCAGATGCAAGGTTAGGTCAACATGTGGAGAGAGGAATTGCTGATGGTCTGCTAATAAGTTGTGTGGCCTCGTCTTCTAATCTCTGGGCCCTTATAATGGATGCTGGAACTGGTTTTACAAGCCAAGTGTATGAGTTGTCACCGTTCTTTTTACACAAGGTTCATTTATCACACTCTCTGCTTAACTATCCACTTATTTAATATTTCTCTTGCTCTTTGGGATGCCCGTCATATTTTAGATTTGAACAGATACGCTAACAATCAAATTTTGACGATTCTGATATGTAGGAATGGATCATGGAACAATGGGAAAAGAACTATTACATTAGTTCTGTTGCTGGTTGTAATAATGGAAGCTCGCTGGTTGTCATGTCTAAAGGTTTGTTTTCTCCCATCGTTGCTTTAATGGTTATCCTGTTAAAAGAACATGCAAAACTCAATCTTTTTCCTGACGTGGTCTGTTAGAAAATTACTTATAGATGGAGTATCTTCAGGTACCCAGTACACTCAGCAGTCTTACAAAGTCAGCGAGTCTTTTCCTTTCAAATGGATAAACAAGAAGTGGAGAGAAGGGTTTCATGTTACCTCCATGGCCACAGCTGGGAGCCGGTGGGGTATTGTGATGTCTCGCAATGCTGGATTCAGTGATCAGGTTGAACTATACTGAACTATACTGACTGAATACTTATTTATTCTCTCTCTCTCTCTCTCTCTCTCTCTCTCTCTCTCGGAATGCATTCACAATCTCGTGATATGATCTTTTCCTTTTCTAGTGGGAGAATATTTGGACTGATTAGTAATTCTGTTCTTAGTGTGAATGTTTTTGCGTAAATGAATAGACTTTTGGGATCCAGGAGCTTGATAACTAGTGCCAGTGTGTGAGTCCTAATGACAGCTGAGCTGATTGAAGTTGTTGATCCCCTTATAGAAGTTCCCTCTATTTGGGTGAGCACGGAGAAGCAGGCAATATCTGCCGTTGTTTAGTTCAAAGCTAGATGCTAGCTGAAATGTTTTCTGAGATTGATGTGATTGTATGGAACTCTTTTAAATGGCCCAATGTGATAGCTGGATTGTTTTCCTGGAGTTTTCTGCTAGAGTGCAACGTGCATGACATCTAAAATGGATTTTAATAGGACAGGATACTTTGCCATTACTTTTTTTGTGCAATGCCCGAGAGTTACATCACATGTCTCCCTTTTGCACTTATAATTTTTATTTTTCAGGTTGTGGAGCTTGATTTCATGTATCCTAGCGAGGGCATTCACAGACGATGGGATAGTGGGTATCGTATCACATCCACTGCAGCAACTTGGGATCAATCTGCCCTGGTTTTGAGCATCCCTAGACGCAAACCTGGTGACGAAACTCAGGAAACTCTGCGCACATCCCAATTTCCAAGCGTGCATGTAAAGGTACAGGCTTGGAAACTATTACAATACTGGCTATCTAAGTTATGCAAATGGAATATTTTTTGCTACAAGGAAGAACGACTTCAACTTCTCCGATCCTTTGGTGCAGGAGAAATGGGCAAAGAATCTCTATCTCGCATGCCTGTGCTATGGGCGAACTGTATCTTAATCGCGGTATTGCTGTGCTATCTGTAATAGCAGAGATGGACTTCCATATTGATGTATTTTGTTTTTTATTTAGCTTAGTCAATTGTAAAGTCATATTAATCAGGGTCTCGGTTGCTGCAGAAATTCGGCAACTGTGTTTCCGACCTTATTTTTTTGCTTGAACTGTATTTCCGACATAAAAGCGATAATGAATCTTCTTTTGGTTTTACTAAAAATCCTGCACCATCATTGGCTTGTTTTCTGGTATATGGTTTTGTGTGGAATCAAAGCCTTTGGTTTTTGAACTAAATCAAGCGAGAATCACGAGCATAGAACTTAAAAGATCAACTGCGTTGATTTTGCGATTAAACAATTTAAGTACTAGTAGATCACACGCCCTATGAAGACAATCGAAACCAAACCTATGTTGTATATGTGGATTCTTCTATTCGAAAGGGTCAATGTGGGCAGTAAAAGGTAAGTATTTCACCGAGGCTCATAATGCGAGAAATAAAAGGATAGAAGAAACTCTGGAATAGAAACTGGTTTTATGGAGATTGATATTAATAATAACAATAATAATAGTAGAACAACGACATGAATAACAAAGAGTCACATCAATACCCAAACTGGTTCGTGATTCGTATTGCCTTCTAGTCCGTCAAACAAATCGAAACCAAACCGACCCACAAGCTGCAAAATACGGTTCGATTTCATTTGTATCCATTCGAAAACCCTCCCAAAATACCAAGCCGACATGACAAAAGTTTGTGCGACAATTGAATTCTTTTGGGGAGTTCTACGGTCTGTTGAGAGAATCCGTCGATCATTTGAAAAGATTTTCGCGTCTTAATGCATTTCGTCACATTTTTTTTGGGAAAAGTGCCAAAAAAGTCCTAAACCTTTTGCATTATGCCAACATGGACAACTTTAATAATATTTTAATATTTTTTTTGAATTTTTATTTTTTTTTTCCTTTTTTTTCTTTTTTTTTCCACTTTTTTTTTGGTCTCTCCCTCCTTCCTCTGGCCGATCTCGAGCCCTCGCCGGAGGCCGCGGCGAGGGCAAGCCTCGCCATGGTCGGGTGAGGCCCGACCTCGCCGGATCTAGCGAGGTCGAGCCTCGCCGGAGGCCGCGGCGAGGCGAGCCTCGCCTTGGTCGGGCGAGGCTCGAACCTCGCCGCGGCCTCCGGTGAGGTTGAGCTCGCCAGAGGAAAGGAGGGGAGACCAAAAAAAAAAAAAAAAAAAAAAAAGGAAAAAAATAAATTCAAAAAATATTAAAATATTATTAAAGTTGTTCAGCTCACGTGTGCCGACGCACGGCTGGCAGGCGTCCACGTCGGTAAATTCCGATCAAAATCAATGGAACAAAATTGGCACAAAAAAAAAGGTTTAGAGACTGAATTGACACCAATTTAAAATTTAGACTTAATTGGCACCAATTTAAAAGGTTTAGGACTTAATTGGTACCAAAAAAAGGTTTAGGACTAAATTGGCACTAATGCAAAAGGTTTAGGACTTTTTTTGCACTTTTCCTCATTTTTTTTTCTTTAAAAACAAGAGTCGCATCACACAGGTACTCAAGGGTTTTCAACGAACAATCGAACGAGATCGGTAGAAATGCCTTTCTTTGCTCACGACCGACTTGTTTCGTGCGAACAGACATCTAAAGACATATTAAATTAGCAGAAGACACGCACGCCCCGGTCGGAAAACGTTGGCGGTTCGATAACATTTCCATTCGTGTTTTTGCCTGATCCGGCGACGATGTCCTTTTGCAGCGGGAAACGCGACAAAATCAGACAAAAGAAAGAAAAGAAGAAGAGAGAACTCCGATTGTATCCATCCACGTTGGTTCCCTCCCTCCCACAAAAAATATCAGCACCACCACGAGCTCTGTCTCGCTGCACACAGAGAGAGAGAGAGAGACACACACACACACACACAGAGTGAGCTCGAGGGGAGCGACAATGGCGCCCTCCTCTCATCTCTCCGCTGTCCCACCGCGCTTCTCCTTCGCCCCAGCTCTCCCCCGCAATCACCGTGAGCTCTCTCTCTCTCTCTCTCTCTCTCTCTCTCTCTCTCGTAATTTCCAAGTTACGTGAGACGAGAATCATGGGTCTTCGGCGGTTTTTGCGTTAGCGAGTTCCAAGTCGTCCCGAATCTTCAAAAGCCGTCGTCGTGCAATTCTTGCTGTCCAGTCCCTTGCTACTTTTCCGAGTCGTGCAAAAAAAGCAATGCTTTTTGTTCCGTGCTGTTGTTTTTGATCATCCGCTGGGGACACGGATTGGCAGATAACTCGAAGTCGGTTGAGTTTCGTGTGAGGTCCAGCTTGGAAGGAGATGGCGGCCACAGTCCTGGGGTTTCAGGCTCACGGCCTCCAGAAACGCCGAATTCCAAGGTTCTTTTCCGCGCTTCGCCGTTTCTTGATTTTAAATCCTGTCCGACATGCCTCTTTGTTTGATGCCTGCTTCAATGTTGCCTGGTGAGGGTCCATGTGCGATGAGTCGAAATGGGCAATTCGTTATTCTTACCTGTTGGGGCTCTCTGCAATCTCCCTATGGCCAACACTCCATTGCTGCGAGCAATCCAATTGTTAATAGCTTTGCTCTGCACGAGTGTGAAATTCCTGTATCTGGTTATGCAGAGGGAATAACGGTAAATACCCTCTCTGTTTGTATCCGAGGAGGGCGACGGACTGCATTATTGCCAAGAGGAAGACACTTCCTTTTGGGGCTTTGGATTTGTTCTTGATAGAGTGAGAGCCTTGTAGTAGTGTCCTGGTGCACAGGGAAGTGACTTCAGCAATTTCATGCTTTCTCTTTTTCACGTACGCAGTACGTTGATGGTTTACTCTCCTTTGTCATGGACCCTGGCCTTAAGTCACAGATGCAACTACTCCCCGAAAGAAAAGACCATAGTTTCTTCCCCTTCCTGAACTTAATACTTGATTCGAACAGAAGAGATAAGGTTAATTTTTTTTTTCATTGTTTTTAAGTAAGTGAGGTTTCCTGTTTGGTTTACGAGGTTCATATCTTCCAATGGAACATCATAAATGTACTCATGTAATTTCTTTTATGGTTGAGTTTGATATGTAGCGTTGCCCGTTTCCAATTACAGGAGTCTCAATTGTCAACCTCGAGGCGCTGGTGTCTCACCTGTTTATGTTCGTCTTTGACATTGATTAGTAAGTCCGGCTCATCTATAGCTCTGCCGAGGGCAACTGCCCCAGATGCAAAGGAAAGAGCTGTTTGTCGAAACTGTGGGGGCGGTGGTGCTATAATCTGTAAGATTTTTAACTCTTTTCCCTTCTTAAAAATTCAGTGTTATCGTTATGTTCTTCTTGAATCCTTGCACATCCTATACATCTAAAGGGAGTGCAATGCTGTACAATTGCTTGTAATCTCTTATCATGAGAATTGTAAGCAGCAGTGTCAGTGACTGCAATGCGACAGTGCTCTGTTAAATATTGGAGTTGCTCACATATCAAGTATTTATCTTTTATCAGTTGAGAACCAAAATTCTGCTTGCACCCAATGTTCTGAACTTGTTAGTTGCTCCTGAGGGGTCATTGTCGAACTACAGGATCTTTTTATTTTAGCTGTATTGAGATGCATGTCCCTGGTCATGTGATTTATCACTTACCTATAATTACATTGATGGTTATAAAATTCCTTCATCTTGCTTCCGTAAAAAGTTGTTAAATGAGGTTGAAAGAATCATCGGATAGTTTTTCTCGTCTTAGTGATTTGCAATTTATAGCTATATCTGCTGCCACCTAAAATTCACAACTTGTATTGTTTCATTTAGGTGACATGTGTGGTGGTACAGGAAAATGGAAAGCTCTCAACAGAAAACGGGCAAAGGATGTTTATGAGTTTACTGAATGTCCAAATTGTTATGGTATGCACCAAAACTTCGTCTATTTACTCTCTTTCTTTTTTTCCCTTATTGGTCTCTGCCGTCACCACTGCTCATGTTTTACAGAAATATGTGCTTCTCTCCAACAGTTATTATCTAGGGTAGCATGACAAACGACATTGAACTTTGGATGTAGGGGCTCATCAAGATTTTGCATCATTCTCTTGTTTAAGACTCCATCGTCTGTTGCATATGCTTAATGCAGTGTTTTTACTTGTTTGCCCTGCATAGACACAGAAGGAGAATGTTTCAGTGGTCTCTGAGAACTCTCTCTATATCTAGTTTTGGAAAAATCTCTACTTGCTTGACACAATACACCAAAAAACTTTTTTCCAGTCAAAAGTACATATGAGGGATGCAAAATGAAAGTATTTTGAACCTACATCACTGATTTGTTCATTGTTTTCAGGCCGAGGGAAACTTGTGTGCCCTGTTTGTTTAGGGACTGGTTTACCTAACAACAAAGGTCTCCTTAGGAGGCCTGATGCTCGCCAGTTACTTGATAAGATGTACAATGGCCGTCTGCTCCCAAATTCTTAGGTGAGCTCTCTCGCCGCCTCCACCTGTTGTAACTGATATTTGCCAGCATGTTTATACTTCTGTTCTGACATTTGAAAGGTCTAGACTAACTGCTGCGAATTTCGCGTGTGCGCTTTTCATTTTGAAGCTCCATTTTTTTTTTCCAGGGAAAGTAGATGTCGATTGTCGAAAAACATTTCTTCTCCTTGCAATTGCAATTTAGGTGTGGAAAGTTCGTTCTCTTTCGCTAACGATTTTTGGGGGTTCGCCAGTTAAAGGGTCTTATGGCTGCTAATTGTGATTTTTGTTACCCTTCCAACTTGTACTTCGTGTAGGGCACTGGTGACTCTGTGACTCGCAGTTTATGATTCCAAGTTCCGAAGGATGGACAAAGAAGAGGCTGTCCGTCCAACATGGCTTTGAAATTCCATTCATCGGCCGCATCCGGTAAATATGTCTTTCATCCTTCCCCTCTCGAGTAATCCTAAGAGTGCTCAAAGCTCGCGTCGGTCCGGTATAGTTCCTTTTCTTCTCACCGCAGATAGTAAAGCCTTCCTCGCCAAGGAAAACAGACTATATGCGGTTGGGGGTCACTCTTTAGAGATGCTTTGATAATCTTTTTGGTTGGGTTGCAATTTGAGAAACACCTGTAGTTTTGATGGATTATTGTATGCTCATGTATGTACTTATAGAGCAGGTAGAGAATTCTGCAACACCACAAAATTTGGTGCACGTCCATGGTTTTCCACCTTCGATCATTCACCCAATGCCACTCTCTTTCCCCAATTCTACAACCCTTGGCCTAAAAAAAGGATTAAAAATTATTTGACCTAGCTTAAAAACCAGGTTGGAAGCCGCATTTTTTGAAAGTTGAAGTACTTGATTGGACTCGGGCCATCCTATTCTGCAATTAAAAAAGAAGGTTAGGCCCTCAGGGTGTCATTACCTCTACAGCTATGTATAAGTAATAGAGTAATATCCAAACGTAAGACTGATTTCTTTTTCAATAGACGGACAAATATTTATTAGAATAATAATTAGCGGGGCTCATCAATTTTTTCCTTTAAATTACCATATAGTATATACCCTAAATATTTGAGTTACTTACCGACGTTATTTTTCTTTTGAATTTCCAACTTTTTATTTGGCTTTATTATCAACGCCTTAATTTTACGAATTCCTTTTTGAAATTACCAACCTCATATAGATTGACGTTCTAATTTTTCGCCTACAACCAGTTTTGGGTTATAAATTCTCTTGAGGTACTTATCAATTTTATTTTTCTTTGAACTATCAATTTTTCTTATCTTTTTCGATATATTATATAGTTTTCTTGGCTACGCGGTTAAATTCAATAATTCGTTTATGAAATTACTAACTAGAGTTTCAGTAAATGACTTATCGGCATTTCTATGATTAAACCATCTACAAATTCTTTACCAATTCTCATTTGAGTTAGTTGTCAAAATATATTTATTTTCTAAGTTGCCGACTTTTTAATCTGGATTTTCTGATTGGGAAAAAAGTCGGTAAGTTATTAGAACGTGCTATCATCAACTAAGGAAAGCGGAATGCCGTTGGCCTTTTAGTTGACCTCATCTCGATGAGTAAATTAAAGGTGCTAGTGAGAAAGATAAATAAAAGTTGATAAAATAAAATAAAAAAAAATGTTTTCGTCGTAGGTGTTGACATCTTAATTTAGTAGAAGATCAGAGAAAGATTGGTTATTAACTACAGGAAAATGTTGTTTTTTTCATATATCCAAAATGTTGTTCAACTTTTGCAGCTTGAAAAGTAAACGGATGGATGGTTTTTTTTTTTTTTTAATGAATATTTCTGTCCTCATGTTTTTTTTTTTTTTGGGGCATCTGACCTTTTCTTTAATCGAACTGTTTTTAACAAGTATCAACTCTTTCGGAAATCTAGTAACAATAGACAAAACTTCGGCCGTTTTGAAATGAAACAGTAGAATGGTCCGGCAAAGTTGTGATGCTGCTGAGGGAAAAAACCCAGATGCAGGATACAAAATCTCCATTCCGTCCCGAAGCAAACGCATTTGTCGACGAGCACTTCCTTCTTGGGGAAGGAAAATCTCGTCTTCCATGCGCGACGGACAATGTTCTCACAGCCCCAGATTCTAGTTGTCCGGAAGCCGGTTCACGACGGTGTGCTCTGGTTTATGTTCGCACTCGAAGTCGACATGAACGAATGCCCGCTCGACTTCCGAGAGCTTCTCGAGCTTTATCTGGAGGGTCTCCCCAATCTGGTGGGCCTCCTTCAACGGCAGCTCCTCTGGAAGTTCGATATCGACCTAATCACAATCATACAGTAACCAATTTTTGTTCACCAAGAAGTTGAAAGCACAACGGGTCAACGTTTTGCTAAACAAGCGATCCATCAGGGATCGACTCGGTTCAGACAACACTAAACTAAAACACAGTAAGTCGAAAGTCTGATGAATTCATTCGACAAACCAGCACTCATCAGTTTGGCTACCATCTAACAAAACTCGTCGTAGTGGTGGAATCCAGAGACACTAGTGTAGCTATCCATGGCTCTCAAAGACGAAAGAAAGTGATTGTATTTGAGGACTCACCTCCACAAAATAAAGCACGCCAAAGGTGTAAGCACGGACAGTGTCGATCCGCTTGACTTGAGGATGTCTTACCACCAAATAAGTTAGTTTCTGCAAAACTTCTGGAGGCGCTGACTGTCCTACGAGCGAAACTGCATGAAAAAGCATACGTGGTCAATGTACTTAGTGTGAAACATGTCTGAAATCAGCATCGCATTGTCCTGAGTTTTTTTTTTTCGACCAAAAAAAAAAACTGACCCCTCCACGAGATTTTCTTTCCCCTGTTTAAAGGTTTTTCAATCGACCTTTACTATTGTCAAGGTTAATTGATTACCTGCAATGTACAGATCGAGGAGGATAGTGATGACATAAAAAGACATACCTGCATTTTCCAGGACTGTTCCAGACCAATTGGTCATGGTGTAAAATGCAAGCAAAATAGCACCGGCGGGGTCAATCCACCAGTAGAATTTATCACCAAGAACTGCCGCTGCGAGACCTACTACATTTGTTATCACATCGAAATAGTGATCCTGACAGTAGGCAGTGATTGAAATTCAGGTATTCAAGTCACACATCTGAACAGATTTGTATCTACTCGCTGATATATGCACGAGGAAATGTAATCTTATGATGTAAATAGCAGTCAAGGCAGAAGATAGGTTAAGACGAGCAATTAAAGTCACACCTTAGCATAAGCACGAACGATGTCATTCGGTGAGCTTCTGCAGTAAATCCAGAGAGCAAGTTTTACAACAGTAGCAGATAACATGATTGAGTATAGCCATGCCAATTGGCTCGAACTCATCTTTTCAGAAGCTTCATCTTCGACTAACTCTTCTACGGCTTGGATGAGTACCTGAAAGCCTGAGAGAAAATTGATAACTATCAATTCTTTTTCCTATTCAGAATCCAGACACTTGTTTGAGATTATGAATTTTCCATGAATCAATAAGTAGAAATGTTTAGTTCAACTCCCTCACTGGATTTAGAGGAACTTTCTTAGAAAATTGTGTTGAAATATTCATGTCAAGTCATCAAAGCATTAGTCAATCAATACACTCATCGAATGAGGTCATTGTCGATTCTTAATATGGTCTGCCCATTTACTGAAAAAAATCTCTAACCGTCAAACATCGGTAAGGTTAATGAACTAAATGGTAGAAAAAATTCTCCCACGCCCTTGCAATTATAAGGACGAGAACTTGGCTTCAAGAACACCCAAATGTCTGGCACATTGACAATTCTCTCTAAGCTTCTTATATACAGTCTATCTGTAGATCTTTTTATCAACCAAAATAATCCCTTGAATGAGCTTGTTACCCCGCCCAGTGAGCTTGAGCAAGCCCATCCTTCCAAAGTGGTGGGTCAAAGGCATTTTCCTTCGCACTTGAATGGAAAGTCGACTAGGATAAGTTCTTTTCTTCTTTTTGCTAGGAGACTAGGATTAGGTTGTTGAAAAACAATGAAACATCCTGAATCAGATTGCATTCATCCATGTCATTGGAGGTAAGAGAGTAGGAGAGGAGCCATCTGCTGCTTATTTGCAGTAGCGCACAACACCGAGATAACTGCACTGTCAAAAAAAAAAAAGAAAAAGGAACAAAGCAAACATCTTCCATGTTATGACACTACCCACTTCAAACCATGCTGAATTTCTTGAGGAATGCTATTGACCGCATAATTTGCTTAAGTATGCATACTTCCATCCCTTCTCATTGATTTGACAACATAGGCAACCAAATTTTTTCTCCATATGAATAGTCGTTCAGAACTCATACTTTGGGCTGCAGAAAAGAAATTTGCTGAGCATACACTTCGATGTAAGTCAAGCAGCCACAAGCATCTAAAATGCTTCAATTTTTTTAAGCCAGTCCTGAAAGGCTAGCCATGAGAATCAACATCTCAAATAACTATTTTCTCAAAATGATTAAAGTCTTGGAACTTTCTTAAGTTAAGCCAAATATGAAAGCTGTTAAGAGGTTAGGCATTAAGGGCCACGAAGTCCTCATCAGCTTATACTCCCCACAAGAATCTTTAGGGAAGTGACGAATGAGAAAGTACCTAGAGTAGCCATGATAGCTGCGAAGACAATTATTCCTACCGGTTGCACCCTCAATTTTCCAATGGGATATTTGTAAATGTTAATCTTCTTCATCGACAGGTTTGTGAACCAAAGTATGCCGCCAGCCATGAGATCAAGTAGAGAATCCAATGTAGATGCTGCAATAGCTATTGATCCACTCTTAATTGTCGCATAGATCTGTATTATAACACATGTTCCACTGTGAATGGTTCAAGCACTTGCAATGTGAGTACAATTAATTTGACAACATCGAGCTTTAGACAACTCCAGGTAATTCTAACGTCGTGCGAAATGCCGAATAGAAACACTATCTAAGTGCAACTCAAACAAGTTTAACATCAAATGCCGATATTGACTTTAACAGCAATGCCTTCCTTGAAAAAAAGAAAAGGCTTTTTTGATGCGACAAGCACCTCGACTGCATTGCGCATATTCAACCAGCAGATTAACAGACAATACACTTGTGCTGGGAATTAGAACAGACTGGCGGATATGTCACCTTAAACACCAGCAGCACGACATTCGCATAGTTCGATATCATCATCGCTCTATCGTGCCGCGCTTGTTCTTCCAGATTTTCCTCGTCTACACCATCAGAGATCACCACAGTGTCCACTTCTTCAAATGATTTCAAGGTCTCAAGTTGCTTTTTATAGTACTCCTTCTCTCCTGTTAACAACGATCCAAGACCATCTGCTTCATTGTTCAAACAGGACAAGGACCAACAGGAATTTTCTTCATGATAGAAGGGAAAGGAGATCCCTTGAACATGAGCAAAGCAGTTGTTTGCACACGATGCTCGATCAAAGACATTAGATGCAGGGAGGGAGGCATGTAATTTGGAGAAAAGGACATTTCTTACAGGGATCGTGCATCGCAAGCAAAACACACGACAACAAAGTTATGTCGAATACAGAATAAGTAAATGGAGGATGAATACTTTTGATTCAAAAAAGACAACAAAAAAAAAAAAAACAGAGGCGTCTCTCTCTCTCTCTCTCTCTCTCTCTCTCTCTCTCTCTCTCTCTCTCTCTTCTGCTTTTTGTGGTGGACGCTTCGCATGTCAACGCAATACGAACCATCCAAAGAAGCGAAAAAGGACAAGACACAAAACCCAAAAGGCTAGAAACACCAGTACAAGAATCACAGATACTCATCGGGATGAGGACTTGAGGAGACCAAAAAACGAACCGCGCACTTTTTTTCATTCCGTTCCTCGAAGCGCGCCATGAACGAAAGAAAAATGAGGTCGAACCATCCAACTATCGAGCCACCCTCGTCCTCATTCCTTCCGTAAATGCCAAAAGGCCCAAAAACAAAGGAAACCGAAGCTCAAGCAACCCGACCAAAGCCACACAGAGAGAGGGAGAGCGAGAGAGAGAGACCTTTGCTCAAGCCTCCGGTCTTGGAGAAATCGATGTCGCACGGGTCAGATTCGACGTCGAGGCCGGAACGGATCTTCTCCGGCAGCTTCGCGACGAACTCGGCCCTGAGAGTGTCGACGGAGTTCCTCCGGCGAAGCGATCTCCCGCTCCTCCGCCCCGCGCTCGCCGCCAGCAACGGCGATCCCGCGCCGCCCGGATCCTCCATCGCCTCCGAAACACCACCGCCCCCGCCCCCCACCTCGAAGACAGAAGAGGGAGAGGGAGCTCGCTTCGGTCCGTCGGATTCGATTCGAGAGCTTCACCGAGTGGGAGGAGAAGCCATCGTTACTTTTTGTTGCTTTGTAATTAATGCCTGCGACGACGAACGTAGTAGTGGAGGAGGAGGAGGAGGAGGAAGAGGGAGGTAGCTGAACTGAACTGGCCATGAACGTTGGTCGAAAAGTCAACACGGGCGAAGAATATTTTATTCAACCTGGAGCGCGCGCGCGAGTCGATCTCATCCGTCCATCCATCGCCACGCCGCTCGTTCTTCATACCCCGTCGATTTATGTTTCCCAGCCTGGTCCCGAGATCCGAAACAATCGCAGCCGTCCATCGAGCAAGAACCTGTACGAAAAACCCTGCACGCGGCATCATAGGGACCTAACTCCCATGAGCACGGCGGACAAAATCCTTCTCTTCTTTTCCCAATCTCAAACTCTGGTGATGGAGATATTACAACGTACCACGTGCCGTGACGTGACGGTTCCTTTTTGGTTGGATCCCAATCACAAATTGCCACGTGTCGATGGCGTAGACATAAATAAATAAATAATTAATTAATTGAAAATGTCACCTTTGCGTTCACCCTCTCCGTCGTCCCGGCGGCTGAGCGACGGATTTGGTGACGCAGAGCCATGGCCGTGAGCGTGAGCGAGCTACAAGTTATTGTGGGTTTGTTCATGCACAGAGGGGTGGCAAGGAGAGACGACGAAGTGGTTGGCTGGCTGGCTCGGCCATGGACGAGAAACGAATGCGAGCCGCCGTGACGACGGAGGGGGTGGCTCGACCATGGACGGTCAGTCTAGATGTGGCTCTGACAACTCCTCCGATGACTGCAGATGGAGGAGGGAGAAGAGAGAGGCAAAAAAAAAAGTAAGTGAGAGTTCTAATTTCTTTTATTTATGTTCACTGACACGTGGCAATTTATCATTTGACTTCAACAAAAATCGAATGCCACGTCATGTGACGTGATACATTTACAAATGTGGAAATGATTTGTATGCATAATTCATTAAAATAAAATATGGATAATTAATCACTGAGATTTGCACCAGTAGCCACCCTTCTTACTTGAAGATAATTAGTTTCAGACGTGGGTTTCGACTCCCACGGTCTGCAAAGAGGTAGGCAAAAGTTCGAAAGTGAGTTAAGAGATAAAATATGACAGATAATAATAAAAAAGATGTGGGTAATTTTCATATTAGATTTATAATAACTCGCCAACTAAGATATTGGGTGGACGAAATTCTCCACTGTCAGAAATTTTACCGTTCCAAAACACTACGTATTAATTCTTGGACTTTGGGATCGATAATTAGTGAATGACTGTGAACGAGTTTAAATACAGATTTTTATTTTTTATATATTAAAATGAGCAAGTCTAAACTAATATGCAAAAAATATGGCAGTGATAAATTTTAGGTGAGATGCTACATGTTCACGAATTGAGATGCACTTTATGATGCATCCAAGAAATTTGTTAAAATATCAAACCCAAAAAATTCAAACCGTTAGATCAAGACACGGTTTAATATTTAAATATTTTAACACTCCCATTCACTCGTAAACTGGACTTTGATATTAGCTTAAAGTGTGGAAATATGCTATTAGGGAGACAGATAGAGGCCTGAAAATATTTAAACTCAGGACCTTCTGCTCTAAAACAAAAACCCAACGCATAGCATGTGACTTGTCTACCCCTGTTTACTTCTCTTTTATTCGAATTTGCTTGTGTGGATGGATCACATCGCCACGTCCTGTTTCATTATTTTTGCATTTTTTTTATGTGGTCCCATAAATCCCAAATGCTGTTAAAAGGTATACAAGATATCCATTTGAGTGCCACTATAAAGTTATGTTAGGTTTGAATTATAGCTTATGCACACCACTGACAACCCGAAGTTCCAACAATATCATTGCAGCCCTATCAAGATACTTGTAGCTAGAATATCTATCACACAAAAAATATTGTCTAAGTTAGGGAATGAGTACGGGCCATTCAAAAATTCGCTCACGATGTGAATCGAGCTCGTGACTGCGTAAAAGAACAGTAATCCCATTATCACCAAGCCAATCATCTTGGCATCGTTGCCATGGCGGGTGTCTCTCAACTCTCATATTTCGTTCCGTTCAACCAAAACAAATGTCATCACTTGTTTATCCAATCGGCATTGACGTGACAATTCACGTTTTCCGCTTTGCATTCCTCACATAAGGACTAACTAGTTCATCTGTTGTTGAGCAAAGTTTTCAACCTAATCCACTTTTCCCATCATTACATAATCATCACGCAAATCATCTTCACCAGAAATCCGTGACATCGTACATGGATGAGACCACGTCATATAAAGTCTACATCTCGAATTCCTACCGACAGGCATCTTGCGTAAGTTCTAATCTCCCGTTAGTTGACTTTGACTGTCGATTGAGCCGTGAGCAGCTGTTTACTTAGTTGGGTAAACGCAACAGCCAGGTAAATCACTAGGAAGGTGCAGCAACAGTGGCTTCCCATGTCGTCTGCACTCATTTCACGATCGTCGGAAGCCAAATCCCGTGCAGTCAAACACGACTTCGCCGGCCAAAATTCAACACCACACGTCGTCGTCGTCTCCTCTCTCGTATAAAGCCTCGGTTCCGAGTCAGATTTGGATATCCAAAATGCTTTTCAACTCTGCAGCTTGAAAATTAAACAGATGGATGTCTCTTTTTTTTTGGGCATCAAACTGTTTTTTAACACCCGGCAACTCTTTCAGAAATATACCAACAATAGACAAAACTTCGGTCCTTTTGAAATGAAACAGTAGAATTGTCCGGCAAAGTTGTGATGCTGGGGGAAAAGACTCAGATGCAGGACACAACATCCAGTCTTCCGTTTCCACAAAACCCCCATTCCCCCCCAAGCAAGCGAATTTCTTGACGAGCACTTCCTTCATGGGGAAGGACAATCTCATCTTCCATCCGCGATGGACCATGTCCTCGCAGCCCCAGATTCTAGTTGTTCGGAAGCCGGCTCACGACGTTGTGCTCTGGTTTATGTTCGCATTCGAAGTCGAGATGAACGAATGCCCGCTCGACTTCTGGGAGCTTCTCAAGCTTTATCTGGAGGGTCTCCCCTATCTCGTGGGCCTCCTTCAAAGGCAGCTCCTCCGGAAGTTCAATGTCAACCTAATCACAATCATACAAAAACCAATTTTTATTCACCAAGAAGTTGAAAGCACAACAGGTCAACGTTTTGCTAAACAAGCAATCCATCAGGGATCAACTCAGTTCAGACAACACTAAACTAAAACACAGTAAGTCGAAAGTCTGATGAACTCAGTCGACAAAACAGCACTCATCAGTTTGGCCACCATCTAACAAAACTCGTCGTAGTGGCGGAATCCAGAGACACGAGTGTAGCTATCCATGGCTCTCAAAGATGAAAGAAAGCAATTGTATTTGAGGACTCACCTCCACAAAATAAAGCACGCCAAAGGTGTAAGCACGGACAGTGTCGATCCGCTTGATTTGAGGATGTCTTATCACCAAATAAGTTAGTTTCTGCAAAAATTCTGGAGGCGCCGACTGTCCTACAAGCGAAACTGCATGAAGAAGCATACGTGGTCAATGTACTTGGTGAGAAACCTGTCTGAAATCAGCATCGCATCGTCCTGAGTATTCTAAGACAGCATTCTACTCCTCAGCAAGATCATACGTTTTAACCGACCCCTCCATGAGATTTTCTTTCTCCTATCTAAAATTTTTTCAATCTACTTTTACTATTGTCAAGCTTAATTGATTACCTGCAGGGTGCAGGTCGAGGAGGATAGCGATGACATAAAAAGACGTACCTGCATTTTCCATGACTGTTCCGGACCAATTGGTGATGGTGTAAAATGCAAGCAAAATAGCACCGGCGGGGTCAATCCACCAGTAGTATTTATCACCAAGAACTGCCGCCGCGAGACCTACTACATTTGTTATCACATCGAAATAGTGATCCTGACAATGGGCAGTGATTGAAATTCAGGTACTCAAGTCACACATCTGAACAGATATGTGTCTGCTCGCTGATGTATGTACGAGGAAATGTAATCTTACGATGTAAATAGCAGTCAAGGCAGAAGATAGGTTAGCACTAGCAATTAAAGTCACACCTTCGCATAAGCACGAACGATGTCATTCGATGAGCTTCTGCAGTAAATCCAGAGAGCAAGTTTTACAACAGTAGCAGATAACATGATTGAGTATAGCCATGCCAATTGGCTCGAACTCATCTTTTCAGAAGCTTCATCTTCGACTAACTCTTCTACAGCTTGGACCAGTATCTGAAAGCCTGGGAGAAAATTGGTAACTATCAATTCTTTTTCCCATTCAGAATCCAAACACTCGTTTGAGATTATGAATTTTCCATGAATCAAGAAGTAGAAATTTTCAGTTCAACTCCCTCACAGGATCTAGAGGAACTTTCTCAGAAAATTGTGTTGAAATATTCATGTCAAGTCATCAAAGCATTAGTCAATCAATACACTCGTCGAATGAGGTCATTGTCGATTCTTAATATGGTCTGCCCATTTATTGAAAAGCATCTCTAACTGTCAAACATCAGTAAGGTTAATGAACTTCAGTTTGGGAGGACAAAAATGGTAGAAAAAAAATTCTCCCATAGCCTTGCAATTATAAAGGACGAGAACTTGGCTTCAAGAACACCCAAACGTCTGGCACATCGACATCTCTCTCTAAGCTTCTTGTATACAGTCTATTTGTAGATCCATTTATCAACCGAAGCAATCCCTCGATTGAGCTTGTTACCCCGCCCAGTGAGCTTAAGCAGGCACATTCTTCTAAATAGTGGGTCAAAGGCATTTTCCTTCGCAAGTGAATGGAAAATCAACTAGGATAAGTTCTTTTCTTCTTTTTGCTAGGAGACTAGGATTAGATTGTTGAAAAAAAAATGAAACATCCTGTATCAGATTGCATTCATCCATGTAATTGGAGGTAAGAGAGTGAGAGAGGAGCCATCCGCTACTTATTTGCAGTAGCGCACGATACTGAGATAACTGCAGTGTTGAAAAAAAAGAAAAAGGAACGAACCAAACATCTTCCATGTTATGACACTACCCACTTCAAACCATGCTGAACTTCTTGAGGGATGCTATCGACTGCATAATTAGCTTAATTCTGCATACTTACGTCCCTTCTCATTGATTTGACAACATAGGCAACCAACTTTTTTCTCCATATGAATAGTCATTCAAAACTCATACTTTGGGCTGCAGAAAAGAAATTCGCTGAGCATACACTTCGACGTAAGTCAAGCAGCCACAAACATCTAAAATGCTTCAATTATCTTACGCCAGCCCTAAAAGGCTAGCCATGAGATTCAACATCTCAAACAACTGGTTTCTCAACATGGTTAAAAGTCTTGGAACTTTCTTAAGTTAAGCCAAATACGGAAGCTGCTACAAAGTTAACCATTAGGGGCCACAAAGTCCTGTATACTCCCCACAAGAATCATTAGGGTCCCCACAAGAAATCATTAGGGAAGTGATGAATGAGAAAGTACCTAGAGTAGCCATGACAGCTGCGAAGATGATTATTCCTACCGGTTGCACCCTCACTTTTCCAATGGGATACTTGTAAATGTTAATCTTCTTCATCGACAGGTGTGTGAACCAAAGTATGCCGCCAGCCATGAGATCAAGTAGAGAATCCAATGTAGATGCTGCAATAGCTATTGATCCACTCTTAATTGTCGCGTAGATCTGTATTATAACACGTATTCCATCGTGAATGGTTCCAGCATTTGCAATGTGAGTAAAATTAATTTGACAACATTGAGTTACGTAAAATTCTGAATAGAAACATTATTCAAGAGCATCTCAAACAAGTTTAACATCAAATACCGGATATTGAAATTAAACAGCAATGACTTCCTTGAAAAAAGAAAAGGATCTTTTGATGCGACAAGCACCTCGACTGCATTGCACATCTTCATCCAGATTAACAGACCATGCACTTGTGCCGGGAATAGAACAAACTAGCAAATGTGTTACCTTAAATGCCAGCAGCACGATATTCGCATAGTTCGATATCATCATCGCTCTTTCGTGCTGCACTTGTTCTTCCAGATTTTCGTCATCTACATCATCAGAGTTCACCACAGTGTCCACTTCTTCAAAGGACTTCAGGGTCTCGATTTGCTTTTCATAGTACTCCTTCTCCCCTGTAATATCAATCCAAGACCATTTGTTTCATTGTTCAAACTGGACAAGGACCAATAGAAATTTCCTTCCCAATAGAAGGGACAGGAGACCCTTAAACATGAGCAAAGCAATTGTTTGCACACCATGCTCAATCACAGACATCAGATAACAATGAGGCATGTCATTTGGAGAAAGGACATTTTTTTTTTCACAGGGATCGTGCATCACAAGCAAAGGATTCAGTTAGAACAAGTCAGAATCTCGTTGAAAGAGATTATCGTAACCTTGTTTGAACAGAAACATTAAAAAGAAAAGGAACAATCGTGGCTCAAGTGTCATGGACATATCACATGACAACATAGTTATATGAATGCAGAAAAAGTCAATGAGGCATTCTCTCTCTCTCGTCTTCTGCTCTTTCTGGTGGAGCTTCGCATGTCAGCGCAATATGAACCCCCTAAAGGAGCAGAAATGACAGGGACAACCACAAAAAGCTAGACACAACAGTACAATGATCAACCATACTCGGATGAAGACAAAAGGAAAACTAAAAATGAACGGTGTACTTTTCTCCATTCCCGTTCCTCAAGCCCGCCATGAACGAAAGAAAATGAGCTCGAACTCATCCGTCCATCCATCGAGCCCATCCTCATCCTCGTAATGCCGAGAGCAAAAAAAAAACAAAAGGAAACCGAAGCCCAAGCAATCCGATCAGAACCAGAGAGAGCGAGAAGAAGGGCGAGGCGACCTTTGCTCAAGCCTCTGGTCTTGGAGAAATCGATGTCGTACGGGTCGGATTCCACGTCGAGGCCGGAGCGGATCTTCTCCGGCAGCTTCGCGACGAACTCGGTCCTGAGCGTGTCGACGGAGTTCCTCCGGCGGAGCGACCTCCCGCTCCTCCGCCCCCCGTTCGCCCCCAGCATCGGCGATCTCGCCCCCGGATCCTCCATCACCCTCCGGAACACCACCACCACCCTCCAAGAGGGAAGAAACGAAAAGCCTGAGCTCCGAACCGAGGGAGGAGCGGGGGCGAGAGAGCTTCGTGTTCCGGCTCGTCAGATTCCGATTCGATGAGCGCGAAAGGAAGACGACGGGTGGCGACTCCTCAATCCTCACCGAGTGGAGGAGGCCATCGTCGTTTCGTCGTTGTCTTTTCTTGCAGTTTTTTGGAACCGCGTGATTATGGGGTGGAATGGGATTAAAATAATATTCTGTGTTTAACTTTTTGTTGCTTTGCAATCAATGCCCGCGACGCAGTTGGCTTAGCGCTGGCTAATTTATATTTGTTTGCCTTAAACAAATCGTGCTCCGATCTCTTTCCAAAAGGAGGAAGGGGGAGGGCAGCTGAGCCGGTCGGGGCCACGAACGTCGGTTGGAAAGTCAACGGAGCAAGTGGTAACCCGGGGCCACATCCATCGTAAAAGTTGATTTGCACCGGCGCACGTGCATCCGAGGGGCTCCCACCGGGTTCCGAGATCCCAAAGCAATCGCCGGGCCGTCCGTCGCAGTATCCGCACCCGACATCGTAGGACCTGTTGCCCCGTGAGCTCCGATTCGGGCAAGAATCTTTTTTTTTGGCCGGACAAAATCTTTTGTTTCCGAACCACGAGCTCTGGTGATGGTTTTACTACAGATCTGGAAATGATTTTATACGCACAATTCGTTAAATGTAAGATGTGGAAATATTTTTCGGACCAAAAAAGAAAAAAATCAAAAATATTGAATGGACGAAATTCTTTCCTATCAGAAAGAGATAATGACGCAAACAGTTCCCGAACTTTGGCTCAATGTATAATGTGGTCCCTTAACTTTTAATTTGTTCAATGTGGTCCCTGAACTTTAGCTTAATGTTCAATGTGGTCCCCGAACTTTTAATTTCTCAATGTGGTCCCTGAGCTTTTGGTACGTGCTCGGTATAGTCCCTGAACTATAAGAAAAAGTTCGATGGAAACTCAGGGGCCATATTGAATATCAGGCTAAAGTTCATGGACCACATTGAACATTAAGCTAAAATTCAGATACTAGATTGAACAAGTTAAAAGTTTAAGGAACACATTACACATTGGGTCAAAGTTTAGGGACTGCTTGCATCATTTTCCCTATCAATTTTGAAGAAAAAAATTACCGTTCCAAAACACTACATATTAATTCTTGGATTTTGGGAACGATCGATAATGAGTTTGTGACCGTGAACAAGTTTGAATACAGTTTTTTTTTTGTTTTTTTTTATATATTAAAATGAGCAAGTCTAACCTAATATGCAAAAAAATATGGCAGTGATAAATTTTAGGTGAGATGCTACTTGCTCACGAATTGAGATTGCACTTGATAATGCATCCAATAAATTTATTAAAAAATTTAACCCACAACTTTGAATTATTGAATGAAGGCATTATTTAAATATTTAGGAGATTTCCTAGATGCTCAGTTGAACTCACCACCGGGTACTTGACAAACGCGTACTTCCAAAACAGATGAGGACAAGGCCGATTTAACTGAACATCAGTTTCATGTCTCGAGACAAAGACAGAGAAAGTGACGACCACCGAAGAAGATACAAGAGCATGCCAAGGGTGCCTATACCATAATTGAGTCTGGTGTCGTGATAACTACGTAGAGCGATGCCGTCTACACGATTGACATCGTGACGCCACAATGGAGAAACGTGGCCTATGCGCATTGTTAGAAACAAAGCATACCCGCTTCTTAAATTATGATGACGTTTATATCAAGTTGAGAATTATGATAATAGAAAAAAGGAATGTTCTCGTCATTCACAAATGAAGAGTACATATTTACAGGATAACTATCTAACATAGTAAAATATCAATGAAAATCAATCAAAATCAATTAAAAGAAATACACGAAATCTCCTAAATATAGCCTAAATATATCTATATCTCTAATAACCATGATCAGCGTATGCTGTTCACATATGTATCAAAACATACTTTCGGATCGAAAAATCACCCAAGAATGGTGTAATTAGGGCGCGAATGATAATTATTCTGTTTCCCTATTTTTCTATTTTTTTTTCCTAAAACAGATTTGGAACAGAAATCCATTTAGTAAAATAATTTCATTTTTTTATTACTGGGACAAATTTGGTCAAGAAATAGATTTGGAACAAAAATGAGAAATTAAAATTTTTACTTTTCTATTTTTAGAATAGAATAAGAAATAACAACTCTCTTTTATTGCTCACTTTTGCCGCCCGCCAGCCGTTCGCCGCCACTCACCGCTACTCACTGGCTGTCCGTCGCCGCCCACCGCTGCCGCTTGCCAGTCGTTTGCCACCACCCCCCGCCGTTGCTCGTTGGCCATCCGTCGCCGCCGTCGCTGGCCATCCATCGCCGCCACCGCTTGCCATCCGTACATTGTTGCCCATCGCTCGTTGCCACCGCCATTGCCGCTCACCAGTCGACGGGAATAGAAATTTTGCATTGTTATCAAACGAATTTCTATTCCAAGAACAAAAATTTTGTGTCGTTATCAAACGCTACTTTTTGTTCAGAAACTCGTCCGGGAAAGAGAAATAGATTTTTAATTTCTATCCAAAAATAGAGAGAGAAATATTGTCATTCGCGCCCTTAGTGACTCACGAACCTATAAACCCCGCAATACAACTTATTTATCGCGGCTTAGCTACTAAAACTTGCCTAATCAGTGTAATATAATATATAAGTTAATTCCGTCGAATTTGAGCGGAAGAAAATGATATAAAAAAAAATTGGAGTTGTGAGTGCGCATATCACGTGACTTGTCTACCCCGGTTGAGTTTTCTTTTTCTCGAATTTGCTTGTGTGGCTGGATCACATGTCATCGTCACGACCCACCTCATTATTTTTGCATTTCTTTTTGTGGTGCCATCAATCCCACATGCTGTTAAAAAAAGTATACAAGATATCCATTTGAGTGCCGTCATAAAATTCTCCATCTGTTACGGTATGTTTGGTTTTTTTTTTTTTTTTGGTCAGAGTATGTTTGGTTTGAATGACAGCTTATTTGCAATCCAAATTTCCGAGATTAGTAAGCCCATGGCCCCTTCGGGATACTCGTAGCTAAAATATCTATCACACAAAATATGTAGCAACTAGACAATAAGTACGAGCAGTCCAAAAGTTCGCTGCGTAAAAGAAGGGTAATCCCATTAGGGTTAATACCACGAAAAATCCTAAACTGGTACACTTGTGACACATTTACCCCAAATTATTTTTTGATCATAAAAACCCCAACCCAGACACCTGCGACAATTTTACCCAAACATACCACAAAAATCCTAACCTAAGACACATGTGACAATTTTACCCGAACTAATTTTTAATATTATTTTTTTTTTTTTTCTTTTCTTTTCTTTTCTTTTTTTTTTCCTTCACCTTCAACCTCAGCGGCCGCCGGCCCGGCGACCGGCCAGAGGCCGGAGGGCCGCCGCTGCAGACGGCGAGGGCGACCCTGCCGATCGGCGAGGCCGCCCTCGCCAGGACGGCGACCCTCGCTGCGCGGGCGAGGGCGGCCTTCGCCCGACTCGGGCGAGGCGGCCTCGCCGACGCGGCGAGGGCGGCTCTTGCGACGCAGCGAGGCGGCCCGCGCCGGATCCGGCGTAGGGCGAGGGCCGCCCGACGCCGGCGAGGGCGGCCCTCGCGGATCCGGCGTAGGGCGAGGGCCGCCGCGAGCCCAGGCGAGGGTCGCCCTTGCCTGGGCGGGCGAGGTCGCCTTGCCCTGGGCGGCGAGGACGCCGCCCGCCGCCGGTGAGGGCGGCTCGCCACGCGGCGATGGCGGCCCTCGCGGCTTCCGCTCTGCGGCCACCGGACCGGCGACCGGGCCAGTGGTTTGAAGATGAAAAAAAAAAAAAAGAATAAAAATAAATAAAAATTCGAAAAATAAAAATAATATTAAAATTTTGATTCAGGGTAAAATTGTCACATATGTACCAGCGGGTTTTTGTGGTAAGTTCAGGGTAAAATTGTCATAGGTATCACCGGTTGGGGTTTTAGTGGTCAAAAAATAGTTTAAGGTAAAATTGTCACGGTATCAGTTTGGGGTTTTATGGTCAAAAAATAGTTTGGGGTAAATGTGTCACAAATGTACTAATTTTAATTTTTCTGGTATTAACCCAATCCCATTATCACCAGGCCCACTGTCTTGGCATCGTTGCCAAGGCATTATCACTGCTTCCTCTTTTTCTTATTCAAGGCGTTTTTTGAATCTCTAATATCGTGCTCCATTCAACCAAAATAAATGCTATCACTTGTTTATCTAGTCAGCACTGACGTGACACTGATGCGACGATTCACGTTAACATTCCGCTTTCCATCTCTCAAGTGAGGATTAATTAGCTCAATTTGTTGTTAAGCGAGTTTTTCAACCTAATCCTACTTTTTCCCATCATTACATAGTCATCATGCAAAATCATTTTCAGCAGAAATCCGTGACACCGTACATACATGGATGGAACCACACCATATATACGTCAACATCACAAATTCCTCCGGAAAGACATTTTGCTTTAGGTTTCAGTCTCCTGTTGGTTGACTTTGACTGTCGGTTGAGCCGTGAGCAGTTGTTCAGTTAGTTTGGCAAAAACCCAACAGGTGAATCACCAGGAAAGCGCAGCAACAGTGGCTTCCCATGTCGTCCGCGCTCATTTCACGTGCAGAAAATCAGCAGCGGTCCTTCGTACACCGCAGAAAGAAACCCTCCTGCGCGGAGGTTCCGAGTCAGATTTGGATATCGTGCGAAGCCGACTCGCGCGCAGTCAAACACGACTCCGCCAGGCGAAAATTCGACTCCGCACGTCATCTCCCTCTCGTATAAAGCTTCGCTTCCGCTCGGGAGATGCTGGGTAACGCATCCGATTCGATTCCAGATTCGACCCTGTTTCGATCCGTTGAGATTCCGGAACATCAGACCCCGCCGATCCGATCGCGGAACCGGCCATGGAGTTGTTCTCGTCGTCTCTGGCGGACGTGCTGACGAAGATCGCCATGTTCCTGGTGGTCCAAGCCCTGGTCTACCTCATCCTCTCCAAATCCTCCGACGTCTTCTCCAAGGACAAGAAGCCGAGGTCCCTCAGCTTCAAACCGGCCCGCTCCGTCAGCATCCGCCGCATCCTCGCCGCCCTCTCCGACTTGCCGGCCGGCGGCGAGCCGTCGCCGAGGCCCGAGCGCCCCCAAGTCAAGGAGGACGACGACGACTCCTCTGCGAATTGATTGGTCCGCAAAAGAGCGCTTTGTATCATTCGGATGTAAATACAGTTTTGTGTGGTGATTCGTGTTTTTCGTCATCTGTAAATCGATCAGGCGTGGGAGTGGCGTGAACTGGTGGAACCAGAAATATTGTTTTCTATGAAATAAAATATGGACTTTTGAGTGTGAAATTTCGTAGGGGATGTAGATCAGATGGTAGAGCGCTCGCTTAGCATGCGAGAGGTACGGGGATCTGTACCACGCATCTCCATTTTTTGTTTTTTTTTTTCCATTCCTTATTCGTTTTCTTGTTTTTGTTCCTGGTTGTTATTTGCTACTCGGATTCGATTTCAGGTTTATTCATGTCCGCATTGCTCCCGAGTTGGTTTGTTTGTCTCTGTTTGTATTCGTGGGGTGAATTTCTGGTTCTAAAAGGGGATGAAGAAGATTCGGGCCACGGCCCACGAGCTTCACAAGATTTGGTTGGACAAGCCCGCTTCATTTTTGAGGCCATTGGACTTTCCAGGGTGGACCTGCTCCCGGTCGGCCCGAAGGGCAATCCATATAAAGCCCATCCAGGTTCAGTCAATTCTAGGGGCGAGCATGGTTTCGGGGATTTACATGATAAACGGACTGAATTGGCCATACCTAGCCGATTTTGGTCCGATTCTAAATTTTTGGAACCAGTACTCTGCGAGTAGGTTCTCATTTCTAGGTACCGAACCCACCCACCCAGGAACTCGCGGTTTAGAAACCCAACCCAAACCTTATTACTTTCTTATTTTTCATATCGCAAGCTCTCCTCTCGTTTCTCCCTCTCGCTCTCTACTCTCTAGTCTTCGATAGAGATTGTAGCGCAGCATTCTTTAAAAGTATGAAGTAACATTTGAACATGGGTCTTTTGAAAATACTCCACTGTAAAAAAGATTGAAAAAAAAAAGGTGAACCGTGAGGTTCCCAAGCTGAGTAGACCTTGGAACAGGATCGGATACTAGGGTTGGTTTCAAAACCTGCATGGTAAGTTCTAAGATTACGAAAACTGAGAACCGGCTCTAACATGGTAAATTTCAGAATCTAGATTTGGAACCTACCTTCTCTGGAACGGATCACTTTTAATCAATTTTGTGGTAATACTTTAATCAATTTGCCAAGCCAATACGTCAACATCGTTTGAAAAGTCCAGAGTGGATGAAGAAAAAACGAAATTCGCGAGATCCTGGATTTCTTTATCCAACTAGACAAGATCCCAATAAGTCCTAGACAATGCTATCAAGGGAACGGTGCTGATACAATAAAGTAGTGATTTAGTCCCCCTAGCTTAACAAGGTCTCCCTAATTCGTGTCCCCACACGCGGACGCGAATCGCGGCCGATGAAAGGGGCGGGGGGGTCTTCTTCCCGCCTTCGCATGATTACCGCAGATCTCGTTCCCCTGTTCCAGCAGCAAAACATCCCCCCTTTCCTTCTTCTTCTTCACCTGACGCCACCGACACATGTACCATGCACTCCGGTTTATTTAATTCGTGCCCTAATTGGGAAATATGGGGCAAATTAATGAATCACTTGATTAGCCCATGCCTTGCTCGAAAGAATTCTTACACAAACGAGAGATCTATCGCGTACGGGGACACATCTCACCACATTTTTTAAGCGGGCGAACACATCCCCTTTTCAAATTAATATCAATTCGAATTTCTTTTTTTATAAAGTAGAGCGAAGGAGACGGGGGAGTTTTAATGATTAATCTGCTTCACCGTACGGACAGTTTTATTTAACGCCGTGGTGTAATTACGAGCTCAGTTAGCCTAATCCCGGTGACCGCGTCTATAATTATAACTACCCTCGCGCTAACGCCATGCTCACGTCACTTTAACCGCTCCTCCTCTTCTCTCTCCCTCACTCTCGCTCGCTCAGTCACATCTGCTTTCGTTCTTCCCCATGGCCGTCGCCGACGCGTCCTCCCCGACGACGCAGCGGATATTCCGCCACCTGATCTCCCCCACCAAGTCCGACGCGAAGCCGTGGCCGCCGCCGCCGCTCCCGCTCCCGCTCCCGCTCCTCCTCCCCTCCTCCTCCTCCTCCTGCGCCGCCGCGAGGGGGGCCCGGTGCTTCGCCGGCGGCTTCATCCTCACCTTCGTCGCCTGCACCGTCCTCTTCGTGCTCAACCCGGCCACCCACTCCTCCGCCCCCTGGCTCACCAACCTCCTCGCCGCCTCCGCCCCCGCCTACTCCTACAGATCTCACTTCTCCTCCGTCCTCTCCCGCTTCCGCCGCGATCCCTCCGAACCCGCCGCCGCCCTCTCGCCCCCGCGCCCTCGCCTTCCCGGAGACCTCGCCGTTCCTCGGGGCGACGAAGGATCGGCCGCTCCGCATTTGGACGATCGGAGGAGGAGGAGCGGGAGCGGGAGTGGCGCGACGGAGAGAGCGAGCGAAGCGGCGTTGGGGTCGAGAGAGGACGGTGGAGATGTGAATGGCGAGAGTCCATCGAGGAAGCAGAAGAAGAGGAGGAGGAGGAGGACGGAGAATTGGCTGCGGTCGTTGAAGAAGTGCGATGTGTACGCCGGGAGATGGGCGAGGGACGGTTCTTATCCGCTTTACTCGCCTGGTTCCTGTCCTCACATCGACGAGCCATTCAATTGCTTTCTGAACGGGAGGCGTGATTCTGGATATCTCAAGTATAGATGGCAACCGAACGACTGCGACATCCCCAGGTGATTCGCCTGCTTCTCTTTGCCAATGCATGCATTCAATGACATCAGTGTTTGTGGGTTTATCTACATTTGTGTCATACTTGTTCCCCCGGATGCATTTCTGCAATGCTGGACTGGTTGGTGAGGCTGGTTGGATGAATGTGGCTTGCAGGTTGAGCGGTCGGAAGATGTTGAAATTGCTGAGGGGAAAGCGTCTCGTGTTCGTTGGCGATTCTCTCAATAGGAACATGTGGGAATCGCTTGTGTGTATTCTTAGAAACTCCGTTGAGGACAAGAGCAGAGTCTTTGAGGCTTCGGGAAGGGAAGAGTTCCGAACCGAGGGCTCCTACTCATTCATATTTCAGGCATGTCATTGAACTTCAGAAGCGGACACTTTTAGGGATGAGGCTTTTTGCTTATATTCTTGTCTTTTGTCGGAGTCATATGCTTGATTCTTTCCGTGCTGTTGTTTGAAAATGTAAATCTTCACAAGTCAATGTGTTGCTCAAGAACTCTATCATGTTTGGTTGAAGATGCAAAAGCTGATTGCACATGCATTTCTTTTCTGTCCTTTTCTATTTTTTTGCGGGTGATTTCTTTAAAGTTCAGTGCATCCCTCCTAGAAGAATCGGTGACTCTAAATATCTCTCTCTCATAAGCAATTTTCGAACTATGGATTGGTAGGATTACAATTGCTCTGTGGAGTTCTTTCAATCACCATTCTTGGTGCAAGAATCGGAAATGCCTATGGCGAATGGATCAAAGAGGGAGACGCTTCGACTAGATGTCGTTGAGGGATCGTCTGATAAGTACAAGAATGCAGACATCCTTGTTTTCAACACTGGGCATTGGTGGACTCACGAGAAAACTTCCAAGGGGTAGTTGCTTAATTCCTTCCTTCTCTGCCGATTTTAACGGATCGGACACAGAACTCAAGGCATGAAATAATTTTGCAGGAAGGATTATTATCAGGAAGGCAGTCACATCTACAGCCAATTGCACGTGAAAGAGGCATTTCGGAAAGCATTGACAACTTGGGGAAGATGGATAGACTCCAACATAGACCCCTCTAAAACACAAGTTTTCTTCAGGGGCTATTCTTTTGGCCACTTTAGGTAAGTAGGATTTGTCCCTTAAATGTACGCTTTATTTATACACAGATTAGTTCTCTTTGGTTTCTTTCTAAGTACACTGTCCTTTATGAGCAGAGGAGGACGCTGGAATTCCGGTGGGCGATGTGACCGTGAGACCGTTCCATACAACGAAGAGACATACTTATTCAAATATCCTCGAAAGATGAGAATCTTTGAATTTGTGATGAAGGGTATGAAGACACCAGTCTTTTATCTCAATGTAACAAGGATTACTGGTTTGCGAAAGGATGCACACCCGTCAATATACAGGATGCAGAATTTAACAGAAGAGGAAAGGAGATCACCAGTGCGATACCAGGATTGTAGCCACTGGTGCCTGCCTGGCGTTCCTGATACATGGAATGAGCTCCTATACAGTCAGATTCTTATTAGGGAAACAGAAAAGCGGCAAAAGAACAGCTGAGGAAAATAGTATAGATAAAGGAACAGAATGGTCTCCCTGCCTTCTTGGTTACGCCAAATAAATGAATTACCTTTTATAGCTTGCTTCCACGAACTGGATGACAGGACCATTCACGGTTGGGCCCGAGCTCTTCTGGTGGACAAAGAAGATCTGCTTTTGAAGGGAAGGGACAGAAAGGGCACATGGTCCCTGAACATTTGCTTCGTTTTACTATACAAAGTCATGACTTTGCACTACTGGTAAAAGGGGCACGGAGATGGGATAAGATTACAGATCTCTTAGCTGCGATCTCTGTTGAGGCTTGGCAACCTCTCTTCCGAACTGATTATTCATTCGGTATAATGCCCCTTAAACTGTGAAAAGGCAAATGGATGCCCTTGAGCAATGAAAAGCTGACGATTATTTTAGCAACTGTATGTAGGCTTGAGTATTGTTATCACCGATAGTTGGCAATTTGCCCGTTTGGTTTTGGCATTATCAGTTAGTTTGCTTCCTTCGATGTGCAACTTGATCAGAATTCAATCTAGTAGGTTGATTGGCGTTTGTTTCATTCATCTCTAATCTTTCACTTCATGCTGTCATTTTGCCAATTGCTCCCGTCTTGGATTATTGCGCAATTGGACATAGAAGCACATAGGAGGAACTACCTGCGATCCTCTATGATGTCAGTCCTTTGTTATTCATCTGTCATAACTCAATTCTCGTACTCACTTGTGTCCCCTTCAATGAAATTACGTGAAATCTGTCAACTCATTTTATTGCTGCAGTTGGCCTTGATTGGAATCCAAGTTTTTCAACTTTCTTTACTCCCAAGTTTAGTGTCTCTCGAAAGATATAAGACGGTTGAGTTTGTCGTTTGGCCAAAAAATGAAAGATTTTGTTGCTAAACCAGGACGACCTATGCCATCCAGACTGCACAATCCATTATAGGAAGCTCGGAGCTTGTTTTTCGGCCAGTAAGGAATCCCACCTGTGAAGCAAACGAACTTTGCAGCTTGCCGACATTAAGATGCCGGTCGGCAGGAAACACACGAGCGAAAAGATTTTTGAGCTCGTTCATATGACGATATATGATATACAAAGTTTCCCTTACATGCTAGATACACTGCATAGATTGGAGATGCAATATTTCCAATGTAGGGCCTGTTCATCCCTTTCTTTCGAAGGAGGCGGCTTCCGGCTAGCGGAGCATGATTCAGTCCAATGAAGAGCAATACTCAACGAAATTGAATGCAATAAAGGACTATATGCTTGGATTCCTATGCTGTTGTATTATGAGAACCGAACCATTAATACTGAACTCAGACGAAGCTAGTACGTCCCCCACTATTCCGAGCTCGGGACATTCTTCCCAGTCGCTCATCCCGGTGGTCATAGGCGACTGCCCTCGCCTCCCCCTCCCTACGATGAATAGCGTGTACATATCCCCCATCTCTGTTAGGGCGGCCACCGTTTGTGTGCCGTTGTTCACGCACTTCTCCACATACCTAACTTGTCCCGATCTCACATGCCTACATTTTGACAATGTCAAGACTTCATGTATGCAAATATAACATGACCTTTCTTGTTAAGGTTAAGAAAATATATACACCACATAGAACTGCAGTTTAGCATGTTTACGCAGAACTGTGTAGCAGACTGAAAATTCCTGTGCTCACTCGAAGAAAAGGTAATCCAAAGTATAAAGGACCAAAAGTAATACCTATTGTAGAAGTCTGCCAAGAGGACATCGTCGTCTGGATGGGCCGCGTTCTCAGTTGAAGACGACGGCGACGGCACAAACCTAATGACCGTCAAATTAACGCAAGGATGAGTAGCAATTCGTTTGCTGCAGGCCAAAGCCTCCTGGTCATCAGGGCCACCAAAAAACAGCGTGGCGACGTGCTGTGTGGTCTCGGAGCTTAGTATTTGCGTAAACCCCGGGGCACCTCCAGGGCCTCGGTTGACAATAATTCCCACCGAGCATGGTGCGTGCCGGAGAACTCTTTGGTTGGTGGTCCTTATCCCTTCCTTGCCGCTCTCCATTTTGCCATCGATCCTTTGGTGCTTGTGGAAAGGTACTAGTATAATGGAAACTCTCAAATCCTCAGCATAATCGCAAATGTCCTCATACATGTTGGAAAACGTCGACACGGCCTTGATCTGCTGGATCAAGACTTTAGTATCTGCCGTGAAGGCATCCACGGCATCATTTATCTCCACCACATCGTTCCCGCCGTAATCATCCTCGTTGACCTCAATCTCCTCGTCTTCGAGCTCGTGATACAGTGCAGACTTGGCCTTGTGCTTCTCTGGGAGTTCGACCAAGTGCATCAGGTACGGGGTGATTGGCGCTGTCTGGGGGCCTCTCAGTGCCGAGATAATCCCAACCGACGCTGCTACATGCCGTGGGCCATACACGCACGCTAGGAGCCGGAGTTCATTTTCCGGGTCTTGCAGCTCGAGCGATCGGTAAGCCTGAGCTAGCCTTTTCTCCTCTTTCCTCATTATGATAGATATCACTACTCCTGAGATGACCGTGTTAATGACTATGGTTATTAGCAGCAAGTCATGGGACTTTAGAGTCCAACTCTGCCAAAAGAAAAAGGTTTAACATTCAGTCTCTATATATGGCATCAAAACTCATAATAAGGGATTGAATGAAAAGAGGCCATCTCATATGTTTCGTCTCTAATTCAAGTTAACAAGCCATGGTGAACTTACAAAAATGTTTGAAACACCACTCAGGAGCACCAGATCAGCATGGCCTTTCATGTTCAGCAAGAAACCGATCAAAACGCCCTCGTTCAGGGGAATCTTCATGTACTTGCAAGCTGCTAGGGTACCGCCGACTTTGCCGACGATGCTAAGCACGACAATCAGGATAACAGAAACGATGTTCTCCAACTTTTGGAAATAGTTCCCATTAAACTGGAATCCGATATAGCCGAAATAAATGGGCAGTATGAAATTGTTGATGGAATAGGTGAGCTTGAACAACAATGTACGAGCCGATTTGCCTTCCCTAGGGAACATCAGACCCAGGAGGAAACAGTTGATCGAGCTATTGTAAGACATCAACTCTATGATCATGGACGTAGCTATAACGAGAGACAATATGACGAAGACCTCGGTATTTTTCAAGTACTTCTGGTTTCTGTTTCGTCGATTGAACCAAAGAGCCAAATACTTATTCAGAAAGATCAGACCCACGGTGACCACGAGGCAGAGGATTCCGCGGCCAAAGCCCTTCCCGGAGTGAGTTGCGATGATTAAAGCATACAGAAATAAACATGACATATCATTGACCACTGAAGAACACACAGCTAATCGGCCAAGGTCAGAAGTCGCGATCTTTAATTCAGCTGTCAGACGGATCACGGCAGGAGGGGCTGCATTCGCTAGAACTATTATGACGAAAAGACCGTAAACAATGTATGCATTACCTATAAAATCTAAGTACCGGTAGGAGAAGAAAGAAGCTGTCCCTCCAAGGATGACACTCAATATGATCCCGCCATATGCAATCGTGCCAGCGGGTCGTAAAGTTCGAATTGCATAAGAAATGTCCGTCTCCAGACCGATCTGGAACATGAAGATTATGCTGAAGAAGAATTCCATAACCGGGTAATAATCTTTGGTCGATTGTTCGTACAAGAAAATTTTCACTTTATCGATGCGCGATAACCCCGTTGGACCGAGTGCAAATCCCGCCTGTACCACAAACGCAATAAACGTTAACACGCATCTGAAAAGCGTGTAAGGTACGAGAATTCAGTCGAACCTTAGCCCAAGAATGCGAAATATGAAGACTTCGCAAGCAATAAATGCAGGAAATGACAGACCAGGATTTGCGCCACGGGCCCGGAATTTCCCACGGCTTTCATCGCGAGGTGAAAGAGATGGGAGAGGACGAGAATGCCGGACATCTGCAGCCCCATGGTGGTCAGGGGGTTGATCAAATCTGGTTGACATATGAACGTTTGTGTTGCATTCATTGATAGCAAAGCATACACAGATTAGTTCAGAACAAAGGAGAGAGGGAGAGGAAGAGAGAGAGAGGTATAGTGTTAGAGACGCTTTCCTTCTCACCAAAATCATACCCTCATTTGGAGTCACTAGGGAACGAGCAGATGTAACACGGATGCGTGGTTTTAGGGGACTTGAGCATACCGAGTCACAAGTTTTTGCAAGGCCAGTTGATGTCCATCCTTATCTCCGGAGAGATTGGACCGTCTAGACATCCCATGAAACATTGTTACCGGTTCAAACACCGATGTTATCGAATAAGTGGCTCCATAATCATCTGCTAATACCAACTAAAATATGCCATTGAAACAACACTTAAGAGGTATTTAAGGGATAAGGTGGAAAAGTATAATTACCTGCCCGACTTGCGATTTGCGTGAATTTTTTTTTTTTTTTGCAGTATAAGCTAGTTACGGGGAAAATTATCAAAAAAGTCGTAAACTTATTATACGACGGTCAATTTAGTCTTGAACCTTTCAATTTTGCCGATTCAGTCTCGAATCTTTTGACAACTTGCCAATTATTAAATTGAAGAGATAAACGGCAAATTATTAAGCAAAACGGGATTAGAAATTTTAAGAAACTCATAATGGCATCAAAAGCTCCATGGAGGGTTTATTAATCAACCCGCTAGTCGCTACACATAAGTTCAACATTGATTTTCATAAGTTATCCTTTGCCTATCAATATGTGGCGATGTTATCACTAGAATCATATCTTAGAAAAGATTTTGTTGTCATTTTCATTAGTGCTTCACAATAGATAGTTGTTTGATGATATTCATGTTTACTAATATTTGAAACAAATCACTAATACCTTATGGAATCCTCAAAAAATTTTGTTTCTCTCTAAAGGCAGCTAGGTTTACTTGAGGATAAGTGCACCGAAAATCTTAAAATTTATTGCAAAAGTGTAATTGAATCATAAAATTTTTAAAAGGTACAATCAAATCCTCCGTCACTTTGCATAATGAAAAATGCTGACATGATATTTTTTTTATTAATTTATCTATCATACGTGGCATTTTTTTTATTATTTTCTTTCTCAAATCTTACTTAAATTAGATTAAAAAAATAAAAACTTATATATATTTTTTAAAAACCCAAGCTTAAAAAAAAGAGCCACAAACTATCACCGACGGGCCGTCGCCACCACCTATCACTGGAAAGGGTCAATAGAGGTTGTCAGGGCCTTGCCAGTGGATGGTGACCCTCGCCGGCCGCAGGTGAGGACCGCCTAGATTTAGGGGAAGGTCGCCGGCCCTCGATTAGGGTGGGGGAGCATCACTGGCCTCAAGCGAGGCCTCGTCAACCCACCCACTTGTTCTGGTTAATCCCAACATAATTATCGTTAATGTGTTGTAACATGCCGAGTTCCACCTCGAACCCATGATTGGTGGTGCTGTCGTTGTCTGTTTCGTTGAACATGCCGAGGTATTGGCTTAGCAAGTGCCTAAGGAGGCCTATTTGGTGCACAACCACGAAGAGGATCCCGTGGCCACTCGGTGTCTCGTATTGAGGTTGAATCGCGCGGTAGAGAAGGAG